TTCCTCAGATCAAATAGTGGAACCATATATATATGGTTGTGACTATTTTCTTCCACTATTTGATCTGAGGAAGTGGGTCTGGCCCACGAAAGCTCATCGTCTAATAAACCATCTTGTTAGTCTTTAAAGTGCTACATAGTCCTGTATTTTGTTTCAGCTACACCAGACTAACACGGCTACATTTCTATCACTATAAAACATGTAGATGAGCTCACGATACCATCTATATGTTTTGTTAGTCTATAAAGTGCTACCAGACCATTTGTTGTTTTTTTCTATACAGACTAACTCGGCTACCCCCTGAAGCTTCCAAATTTAAAAGTCACTATAACACAGGAGAAAGGATGGGCTGAGATTAGAATGCAAGCCTGGGGCTTGGGAGAACTAAGTCACTTAGATTTCAGCATGGCCTCAGGCAAGTCATTTAGACTTCAGTGGAAGCTTGGAGCTTAAATACCCTTAGGCTATGTCTAGACTGGCATGATTTTCCAGAAATGCTTTTAACGGAAAAGTTTTCCGTTAACAGCATTTTCAGAAAAGAGCGTCTAGATTGGCACGGATGCTTTTCTGCAAAAGCACTTTTTGAGGAAAAGCGTCCGTGGCCAATCTAGACGCGCTTTTGCGCAAAAAAGCCCCGATCGCCATTTTCGCAATCAGGGCTTTTTTGCGCAAAACAAATGTCAGCTGTCTACACTGGCCCTTTTGCACAAAAGTTTTGCGCCAAAGGGACTTTTGCCCGAACGGGAGCAGCATAGTATTTCTGCAAAAAGCACTGATTTCTTACAATAGGAAGTCAGTACTTTTGCAGAAATTCAAGCGGCCAGTGTAGACAGCTGGCAAGTTTTTCTGGAAAAGCGGCTGATTTTCCGGAAAAACTGGCCAGTCTAGACGCAGCCTTATGGATTAGCGATTTAGCTGCAATCACACAGAAAATTATGAAGCACTACAAATGCTAAAGTAATTGGAACCAGATAAGTACCCAGAATATACATACTATTAATTATTTTTTATGATGCATCTGGCCTTGCAAAAATAAACTTTTCCAAACATGAGGGACAAATATCTTTTTTCTTGTGCACTTTAATTCCAGATACTGCAAGTAACTCCATCTGGGTGGACCTCTCCACCTATGCTGAGCCAGACAGTATCAGATTAGTATTATAGTTGGTCCCATTATGACAGTCAATGTACAAATACAGAATAAGATATGCAGACCTTGCCTAAGTGAGATTGCACTCCAAAATCGAATAGGCTAATGAAGCATGGGAGGACAAAATGAGGCACAGAAAGGCAAAGTGTTTTGCCCAGTGTCACACAGCAGTTAGTGGCAGAATAGAGAATAGAACCAGGCCTCCTGAGTCTCAGTCCAGTTCAATAGCCAAACTCATGCTGCCTCTACTCTCAAAATTTATGAGCCACTCTTCCAAACTCTTTAACTTGCACATGCTTGATTTTAATGCACTGAAATCTCAGCATACATTCAGTTAAGCACACACTTGTCTTCGGATAGCTGCAGTCTTATATTGCAGTAGTGACCAAAAGCGCAAGTCAGGACTAAGGCTTTTCTGTCCTAGGCAGAGGATGCACTGCTTCAAAGCTCACACCCAATCAAAAGGTTCAAAGCATATTTTAATTGTTTAAGGCAGTTCATTATTTTGGAAAGACATGAGGCATAACCCCTTACCCAAGACTCTTGCCAGGCAGATCTCTTCCTCAGTCTTTAGCAGTTCTCTGGGGGTCAGCTTCTACCCCTCCTAGGATCCAGTAAGTCACTCTCACCTTGTGCTACAAATCCCTAACTTTTAAACCATTGGGTTGCAGGGCAGACACCCCAACCTCTTCTTTCTTTCTTTCTTTCTTTCTTTCTTTCTTTCTTTCTTTCTTTCCCAGAGGTCTTTTCCCACAAACCCCATCTCAGCTTCCTCCCTGGCCCTAAGGTTGTCAGATGCTTTAACCAAAAGTACCAAACACATGCCCTCCCCCCCCAAAAAAAAAACAACTGGGGAAAAAATTCTGTTGAGGGAAAAAAAAGGGGGGGGGGGGGAGACTGAAGTTGTTGCGCAAAAAAACAGCATGGCCCCTTTAAGAAATGTTTGTGAGGCTTTATGGCCTAATAGGAGCCAGTGGCCATCCACCATCTTGTCTGCCTGCTCCGGGCTGGACAGCTCCCCTGCAGAAACCAGTAAGCACCTGGGATTTTCACCTCTTGGCTGGGAAAAAAAAAATCAGAAGGTACCGGACATTTGAGGTGTCCAGTATTTTTTGAATTTTTTACCAGTCAGGAGGCAAAAATACCTGACTGTCCAGGTCAATACCAGACACCTGGCAACCCTACCTGGCCCTTTCCTAGCCATCCTCGCCCTCTTAAGCAGAGGATGCACCCCAGATGGCTGCAGGTAGCCAAATGAACATCCAACAGCCCTGGTTCTCAGACACGTGCTCCTCCTGCATGTGACCCCAAAGATCCTTCATTACTGCCCTCCAACCCTGGCACAGGTGAGCAATCCCAGCCCTTAGGCCCCACTTGCTCTGACACTGATGGCAGGGGGGGGCATGATGGTGATTTCAGGGCCCAGGAGGCAGCAGTGGCCGAGTGCAGGTGCCAGCCACAGGAAAGTGGCTTCCACTCGCCACACTTCTAATATGCGAGGAGAAGCCAATTAAGACCCTCTCCTCTGTGACCCCCGCCTCCAACCATCCAAACCCACCACCAGAGGAAGCCACTTCGCATTTGCAGAAAGTTTGTCCTCTATGGCCTCCCATTTCCACATCCCTTTTTTACGCCATGACGTTTCACGTGCCCCAACCCCTCCTTTTCGCCCCCCCCTTCAACTCGGAGGAGGCGCGAAAACCCACGTGACCCTCCCTTCGCAGGGAGGAGGTGCGAGGAGCTCGCGCTGACGTCACGTGACTCGGAGGGCGGGGCGGCCCGCGCTGCGCCAGGATCACGTGACGCGGGAGAGGCTGGCTGTGCGCCGTCTAGCCTGGATCACATGGGCCTATGGGCTGCGCCCCCTAGCGCGCCGGGTTCCGAACCTGTCCCGCGCGCGCTTTTCTGCCTGGGTGCTTCCGCCGCGCGTTTATTCCTGTCAGGCGGCTCCGGCCGGGCCGGGCGCTCTTGCCCTATGGCTCTGGGGCAGGGGTCTCCCTGGGACTGAGGGATCCTGCGTGCCCCCGACTGGGGGGGATGGTGGGGAGAGTGACCATGGC